GGGGGGGGGGGGGGGGGGGGGGGGGGGGGGGGGGGGGGGGGGGGGGGGGGGGGGGGGGCTCATGTCAACGCATGCCGTAGTCGTTAGACCATTGACTTCGCATCCCTGCAATGCCGGGACGAAGCGACACGTATGCCGGGTTTTCGCCGGGCAACACGCTAGACACGTTTCACAAGGATGAACCAGAAGCTGGTCACCATCCTTGCGATTGTGGGGGGCATGAATACCATGCGTGGCCGTACTCGGAAGACCGTAGATACATCCTCGCGTTCCTACGAAGGCGGGATAGACGAAGTTGCGGGTCTTACCAACAAGAGAAATTCGCGTTGAGGAGTAGGGGAGTAAGGGGGCACGCTTGGTGGATGATACGAAACCCATCAGGAAAGGGGGATCCGCACTACATGTACCAAAGGAGTATCAACCGAGCAGCGCTGCCGCGAAAAGAATCATGTGCCATTTTCTTGACAGAACATGTGCAGTGTAGTACGACGCCCAAGCAAAGGCATATCGCATCAACCCCACACGCTTAGAAGGCCCTCAGTCGCCGCACACTTACTACAGCATTTACGATGGCGAAGATACTACGCGAACCGCGGCCGAACAGACGCCCGGGATATGGCACAGCTACTTTGTGTTTCTGACTGAGGACCAGCAACAGCCTCGCTCCGTCCGTTATGCAACCTCCCCCGCCCTTATCCCCACCTTGCTGGAGCTCTGCATGAGACTCTCCTGTCTCTTGAGCTCCTCCGCCTTCGCTTCCGCCTGCAGCTCCCGGAGGTCCCTCAGCAGCTGCACCTTCGACAAGAGCGTCGCCATCATGAGCATGTCCTGATCACGAACAGAAACAAACAATAAGGCGGTTGGTTGTCGGCGGCGGCGGCAGGGCGCGGTCGGGGAGAAGGGACAACGGCGAAGCGCTGACCGCCACAAAAAAATCACACACACACACACACACACACACACACACACACACACACACACACACACCATGGAATCGACACAGAGAAGACGGGTGGAAATAACGTCGCAGCGTTGCAGGCGTCCAGCTACCTCCCTCCCCCTCCCGTTTTCAAGGCTCGCAACAACTACTGCTACCCACCTCAGTGCCCCTCGTGCCCGTCTTGTCCAGATGAAGGCGGTACTTTCCGGCCTTCCTGAACTTCTCGAGGTTTTCGATGCCGTACAACTTGGCGTCGTCGGCCCACTCACCGAACACACAGCCAGCGATCAGGATCTTTTGGGAACCAATCGACGAACAGCAAAGAGAGCGTAGCAAACACGACACGAGAGCGTCAACTACAACAATACAACAGTACATGCACACTCCGAGTGGTAGGTAGTAGCAGCAATCACAGGAGCACACCAATAGCATACTCTGTTCCATCCATCCATCCACCCATCCCAGCCATCCATTCGATTGCTACCATCTTCAGCAACCTCGCGGAGCCCTTCCTCCCCCCTCCCCCCCGGCAATTCTCGAGAACGGCGACGGAGATATCCATGGCCGAGCACCACCTTGCTGCCTGCTTCGGGGGTGCGAAACCACACGCACAGCCTCCATATACACACAAGCAAACAAACTACGACCAAGCCAGGCCATGTGTGAGCACGGGAGCGCACCAGAAAAATCGAACCAGCGTTGCGTGAAATAACTAGACGTCGGTATGTATCAGGAGGTGTCTACAGAGAAAAAGTGTCTCGTATCGTAACTCTCGCGGCTTTCGTGTCTCCACGTCTCGTCTCGCTTGGTGCAGCCGAGGGAGCGGTCAGTATAACTGCGGCAGGCACTGCTGAAATGTAATATACCTCCTCTTCCTTCTCTTCTAACTCGTCGCACTCGGTGCGGGCGCGGCGCTCCTCCAGCTCCACCCTGCCCGGGACAGGAAACAAGGAACGCGACTGAGATCAACAACTGACGAGATCGCCGCACAAAAGAAATGGATGTGATGGATACAAACAGTCTTCTTCCGGTAGAAAAGTGCTGGTGTTTGTGCCGGTGGACACACAAACAGGGCTGCATAATTAGTCTAAAGTAGTGGCAAAAACAATCCCTGACGGAAAGAAGACGACGGCAGGCACAACAGACAACAAGGACAATACACCGACAGTGCATGTATACATGCTACATGCACGTGCACCGCTGATTGGAGCATGCGGTACCGGCGATGGGCGAATCAGGCGTGCAGTTCCCGTAGGGGTCTTATCCTTCGGACGTGAAAGACCTTTGTACAGTAGTACTTGGGATGGTTCCTTCTCAACCTCGATTGCAGGGTGAACTCCTTCACCATCACCTCCCTAACCCCAACAATAAAAACACTTACTGGCATGGACGGGACTTGCTTTTTCTTATGTACCACTGCGAAACAACGGAAAACAGAACTGGGGTCCTCATCTGCCGACAGTGCCAACGAACCCAACTCCAAAAACAAGCTCGACTCTCATTTTCCATTATCTGTTACTCTCATCACGCCAATAATCGAAGGAAAGCACCGCAAGAGGTAAAGGCGGAGAATTCTCCCCGTGTTACCAGGGCCGACGAGTCAAACAACCACCGAGAGCATTACACCGGCCGACAGCGTACATGGTACGAGAAAAAAGAGAAGCAAACACAACCGTTCGATTAACGTAGATATTTTTCTCTTCTGCGTCGCTTGGTATTCCCCGATTCGCCGGTGCTTTCTCCCTACTTAAATATAGAACCTCAACAAGGCCTGACACGTCCATGGAGGGAAAAAACGCGGAGCTTCTCTCATGATCAACCCGAACGCACGAATCCAAAAAAGAGCCACTGCGCACGACACGTGCGCCTTGCGTTTGTTGCGAATCACGGCAAGAAAAATCGCAAAATGGTGATTGAACGACCCGGCTGGTGAACCAAAAACGTGCACCTGGTACAACCTAACATCGTATAATCAGGCGTCCAGAATGGACGGGATGGTGCGACAAGGAGACCCAGCGGTCCGGGTCAACACGGACAACACCATCGGGGTACCGATACAATGCGTCATCCAGCGTCAGGCCCACCTCTTGTCTCGTTCTCCAGGGATACAGGAGTGCTTTTTTAACGGCGAATGTCGCCCCCAACAAACGTCCTATGCATCAGTACTCCTGCTGCACACACACACGCGACCGCTCGACGCCCCCGCGCGTCCTCACCTCCGGATGATCTTCTCGGCGGTGGCCACCTCCTCGAGCGCGGTCCGCATGTCGAACCGGGCGTTGTCCGCCGCCCTCGCCGCCAGCTCCTGGGCGTTGGCGGCGATAGCCAGTACCACCTGAACATACACAACACACAAAACAAGAGGCATACGCATCCACGCACACAAGAACAAAAGCATCTTCGTCCACTCACGTACGTCGCTTACCGCACACGCACGAGCCAAACAAAAACATTCTTGTCCCCGTTGTAGAACATTTCCCCTTCCGTGTCACGAAAGCCGTGCGCTATGCCTCCCCGCAGCACATGCCAGTACCACTGTATACCGTAGGCGGACGCCACCACACCCCCTGCTTAACGACGGATCGCCCCCGCACAATGAAGTCAATCGATCGATGTGCGTGCACACATCACAACAAACAAAACTACACATGATGAAATTCTAGGAATTGGGGAACACGTATGCATGCACAAGAGCATTAAGCGCACCTCAAGCGCGGAGACGAGAAGCGACTCTTCTGTGTCTGCCGGCTCCAACTCGCCCATCCCGCCGCCACCACCGTTGTGGACAACTTTCACCCTGTTGGGTGTTTTTTTTATTTTTTTTTTCGTCCATGCATGCAACACACACGCGTGTGTACGCACGACACGAAGAGAGCACGGGAGCAGAAAGCAAAGCGTTGGGCGAGGGCAACGATTGAGCGAGAAAGCGCCAACGGTAACCAAAGGGCATGGCGGTGGGGCAAACATGAGGAAAACCTTCAAGGTGTGTGTCCTCCGCTGTTGAGCCTCCGCTTCGTGTTGTCGTGGACCAGGTGCTACTGCAGATAGGGTCACAAAAATATGATGTCGCGGGAATGTATGCACTTGGTTGCACATTGCAGGAACTCCAAATAATAAGAAAAATGTTTCCATGAACTCCGGTCCTACTGCCTAGATAGAAGAACGATAAAAAATCAACGTAGAAAAACGAAACTGAAATAATATGCCTTCAACGAAAAAGTATCAGCAACCTCCGTACTTTAAATAAGTCGTCTGTTATTAATTTCCCCACAGATAGATAATATGAGCGAGTACAAACAAGATGAAGCTTACAACACCAACCAAATGCTAACAGGTGTTGGCATGGGCAGGGGGGAAAGCGGTCGGTGAGAGGAGCAGCATTGCAGTGGTCTGTGTGACGTCCAGACTGCCAACAACGAAAACACCATTTGTGCGACAACACACAGGGTTAACTTTCTTTGCACGAGAAAAGAAAACAAAACCGATGATCGAAAGCCACCGGCTGATAGAGCACAAAATACTCTTAAACAATCAAACGCGGATACAAACAACGAAGTAAGCACACCGCACTTTTCAGACCGGCCGATTGTTGCATATAAATAGGAGACACCCATGGCAACCATCCAATACGGAAATACTTGATACAAGCGATGTACACGCACGTACAGAATGCTACAACAAGTACGAATTCACCCCACGCTGTGATGATTCGGCCCTCTCAAGGTCCCCAAATAGGTGCTATACGAGTAGATAGATGAATACACTTGTCTACAATCAATGCGAGGAATGTAGTCAAATGTTCTCTTTCTCCTGCATTTCCCGTCCTAGCACCGCAATTACTCCTCTACGTAGGGTGCGAAGCTGTCCTTTATATACCCGATGTAGGCTATGTACTAACTAACCTGTCCTTTACCCCCGTGCCGAGGATATCGAGCTCTTCGAAGAGCTGCTCGGCCGACTCCATGAGAGACACCGCTTGTTCCGCGTACTCGTTAGCAGGCTTGGCGTCCTGCCAAATGAAAAGGATATTTTTCAGAGACAAAAATTTACGAGAGCATGCATACATGGCGCAGAAAAGAGAGGGGAAAAGAGACGGGTGGACGTAACGTGATTGGTACATCCTACATACGCGGGCCATGTTGCCACGATGCTGGCGCTTGCATGCCATACCAGAAGAGACCAGGCCGCGTCGAGCATTTTCGGCTTGAAGACGACCGGGGTCAGACAGACCGATGAGCAGCAACAACTTCAACTTTCCTTTTTCTTTAACGATCGTGAGTAACACCTACAATACCTACGGGGGGAGGGAAAGGATCAATTCCTGACTATTTGGTCCATCATCAATGAAAGCCGTGCATCAAGCCTACAGCAGCATTTACCTACAAAAGGTCCGCGAACTCTCACGCGCCGGTTAGGGTGTCTGATGGATTAGTGGTAGGTAAGGGGGTGACGTGAACGTGCCCTTCGAACCCCGGGGATTTTTGCGCATACGAAGTCAACTGCTCGCGTGAAAACGAACCAAACGCACCTACGACATCTACGACATCTACGCAAGAAACAAAAATCTAGCAGAAGCAAGCCAGCGTGCCGTGCATATCCTTCATTCAAGCTCGATTGGGATTAGGCAGCAGACGCGACCGCCCCCTTGTTGGAGCGTAGCACATACCCGTGCTAGGCATCGTGTGCTACGCCGCACCTTGACAGCGTCGCAGTACTCCTCGTGAGCGGCGTCCGCGGCCGCCTCGAGCCGCTCCCTCAGCTCCCCGAACATGTCCGTCGCGATCGTACCCGACCTGAAACACAACAACAACAACAACAACAACAACAACAACAACACTCATGGCGCCGTTCGTCCGTTCGTTCGTTCGCGATGCCACAAGAGTATCATAATCAGCGCGTGGTTCGCCAACACAAGAAGATGAGAAATGTTGAGGGGCGCGAAACCCTGCATTGTAAGATAGCAAACGACTTCCGTGCCCTTTGAGGGCAATAAAAAAAACACAACAAGCGGCTTACAGCGAGCGACTATAAACAATCTTACGCCTGAGGCAAAGAAGCACGGGCCCATCTTGCCGCTAGAATCGTCAAAAGCAACGGCCCGTGCTATCCGCCTGAGCAAAACGGGCGGCAAAATTACAAAAGCGACGACTGCAACAATCACCCAACACAACACGCTTTAGAGAGCGGCCTAATTACACATCCAACAGCCCTGTACAAGGTGCCATCTCAATCGAGCCTTGCTGCGTTCTTCCACACCACAGGGGGATGACAACGTGCACCAGGTACGGTAATAAGCGTACCGGATCTTCTCGACGGCCTTGGAAAGGAAGCCAAGAGCCTTGCGAGCGCGCTGGACGTCCGCGCGCACCTGTGCATACCGGGAAAAAGCGAGGTGTTTGAGTGAGGGGTAAAAGGGGGCCACAGCCAAACCTGATTCCGAAATCAGACGTAACTTGCGGAACAAAAACGGACACCATGACGAACGCGCCTACCGTGGTGGAAAATGAAGCCGTGCATCGGGCAACGGGATGGAATAGGGAAGAAAAATCGATGAATTCCACAGCGATCAAAGCGAACACAGAATTATGGAGATGAACACCAAAAACGTACATCATCAGCTTGTCAAAAGGGATTGAGCCGGCCCAGGCATCAACAAAAGCGCACGGGAGCGTATCGAGTCAGTGCTAATGAGCATCCAATTGACTATTGCCCGTCTGCAAAGATAAGCATGTATCGAGCAAAGGCTAACGACGTACAGCACCAACCGATAGCCAGTCTTCCACTTCCCTCCATCACCATCACCATCCACCAACCAGATCACCAGCTTTGGGTGGTCCTTGTACAGGCGTGAACACTCGCTTTTCCGCCCTGCCCCCCCCCTCCCCCCCGGTGTTTGCCATCGGGGTTGGGTTTTCGTCGCTTGGCAACGACGTTGTAAAACAAGCCAATTCACTTCGTGAACTCGGCACCAGGTTACCGTTTTGTTTTTTTTTACCTCCGTTTTTTTTTTGGCGGTAACCATAATGGTGGTCGAGTAGATCATGTTGTGCGGGGTGGAGAAGCCTCACTCCGCGCAAGGGGGATGATCGCACCACGTTGTGGTAAAATGGTCAAGCACCCTCGAGGCAGTTACACAGTGCTTACAACTGTCTC